TTCTTTAAGTTTATTTAAAAGATGGTACAACATGAACAGGAGATACATTTTTCTGAGAAACAAAGTTACTCTACTATGACTTTTTTTTAAGTAATAAAATTTGAAATCTTTTATGATGGAAGAAAAATAAGAACTTCATATGTCGTTCTTTCAACAAAATGTCTAGTCGTCTGCATTTTCACTTACCTACTGCATTATTTCCTATAGCAATTATGAACTTGGAGCAAGGATATTTTTCTAGCAGAGAGACTTCCAAAGATGTTTTTGTCTGTCGTTGAAGGAGCCGCACCTCCCTAACAGGAGAAACAAGATGAAACTAAAGCAACTTAAATATCAGTATCATATTATGACAAGAGGGCAGTACACATACAATTCTGTAATATGTACAGTGCACACTTTAACTTTATAAAGAACATAATTACAATCATAAGAAAACAATTGATTCAGACAATAATAACCAATAGATAACACTACTGCTCAAAAGTTCATGTAACTCTATAACAGAGATCAGGCTGTCCACCTGACCCCTCTGATCAGTCAATCTTAGCATCCCTACAAGTGAGACAATTAGGCATAGTGTGCGAAAAGAAACAGAAAACACCACGTCAAAGTAGTCTTGCCAACAAAATACAGAATGTGAATCTGACCAAGCCTCCAAAATGAACACTCATTTACAGGAAATGCAAGTGACGGACACATATGTTAAAAGACACCAGGAGGAAGCAATCAGACAAATCCAGAGTGTGGGACACTTTCAGTAGGAGTAAAACTTGATGGGGGTTACTCTAAGTAAAATGTTTAACTGTAATGTGTGGAACTAGTCGGGATTCTGATTTACAGAAGCCACTGCGAAATGTCATGTTTGAGAAAACTAGGTAGATTTAACAGTGAACTACTAAATGATATTGAAAAAGTATTAATTTTGTTAGAGGCGATACTAGCACATGTAAGTAAATGCTAAATCATTTGGGATGCATTCTGAAAATGTAGAGGTGAAAGACAATGACGACAGATTTGCTTAGCGGTGGTGGGAGAGGATATCAATGTGGCAAAATCTACTTAACTGTTGAATTTACATGATCATGGGGGGATGGGGGCCACTTTACTTTTTTCTCTCATTTTTTTTTTTTTTTTTTTTTTTTTTTAAAGATGACCGGTAAGGGGATCTTAACCCTTGACTTGGTGTTGTCAGCACCACGCTCACCCAGTGAGCGAACCGGCCATCCCTATATGGGATCCGAACCCAGGGCCTTGGTGTTATCAGCACTGCACTCTACCGAGTGAGCCACAGGCCGGCCCTTTTCTCCCATTTTTGAGTGTTTGGAATTTTTCTTTTTTTTTTTAATGACAGAGCATCCATCTGCTACTGCCATATAATACTAACTGAAGTATGGGGTGGAGGATGAAAAAGTTTTAAGAGAAGCAGGCTGTCCAACGAAGCAAATTCACGACAAACGTGGGGCACGACTGTAGCAGTACAGTAGCCATGGAAAATCTTACAAATGGAAAGATCGCTTCACAAGCCCGCAAAAAACCAAGCCTAAGTAAAATGCTAAGGTAAGCCTTGAAGGCAATGTCTTTAACGAATGAATCTGAATCCAACTCCCCCACAACGGCTTCCCTCTCATGATTCCACCGAAATACAGACGGACGCGAGCATCGCTCCCCGCGCACGCCAGGAGTCGGCACCGGAGTCCTCGGGGGTTCCCTGATAGCGGGGACCGGCGGGTATCTGCCTCGCGTCCGGTGTCGGGAGAGAGCCGCGCGTGGCCGCCGCGGACAGCTGGCAATCACCGAGCGCCAGCTCGGGCCTCATGCCTGCGGAGACCGCGCCCCTTCCCCGGCTCCCTAGCCCCGTCGGGGCGGTACTAACGAGCCCTCCTCCAGCCGGAAGCCATGCAGGCCCGAGCACGCCGCCCGCGGCTTCCCGCGTCAGGTGCCTCACCTCTTCCGCGCCAGCTGCCGCCGGACCTCCCTGTCTTCAGGCGTCTCCGTCCTCTCCTCCTCTTCTTCCTCCTCGTCCTCCGTCCCGGCTCGGCACGGTGCTTTAACCACCTCCCCGAAGAACGTGGCTGCCATGGTCTCCCAGGCCAGCCGGCCACAACTACCGCATGGCGGGACTGCGCACGCGTCCCTGCGCACGGCCACGCCCCCTGCGCTGTCCACGTGAACCGCCTCGCCCCACACGCACCGCCCCTGCGCACGGCCACGCCCCCGGCACCGCCCATGTGCACCTTCTCGCCTCTGCGCCCCGCCTGCTCCACTCCGGGCTCTAAGGACCTGAAACCCGATCGCGTTTTCTTGCACAGCCTGGGCCGTGCCGGGGGACCGAGAGACCGGAGGACTGCGGACTGGAGAGGAGAGAAGCGAGCCAGAGGGTGGGGACCGCCGGGGCAGGGCGGGGCCTCCTGTAACTGACCCGGGGAGCGGAGAGGCTCAGCCGCCGCCTCCCGGTCTGCAGCGCTCTGGGGAGAGCGCACCGGAAGGTGTTTCCTGTCTTCGATCCGTTTCCCTTTTCTCCATTAGGAGTGACAGGGGTGAAGTTTGGTATACTAAGCTACGTCCCAGGTAGGTGGCGGCCGGGGGCACGCGAGGACGAACGCCCGGGCCGAGCGCGCCCTCAGGACAAAGGACAGAGGACGATGGAAGGGCAGGAAGAAATGAGGTAGGTGGCGGCCGGGGGCACGCGAGGACGAACGCCCGGGCCGAGCGCGCCCTCAGGACAGAGGACGATGGAAGGGCAGGAAGAAATGCAATGCTTCGTGGTGTTGTAGAAATGAGACCTTTACTCTGGCAATAGGAATTCACATTTCAAAAGCTGATGATTGTCAAGCTGATCTAAAAAACATTTTTATGAGAATGCAAAAATAGTTGATTTTTTTAAATTTGGCCATTTATAACTAATACAAAATGTTTTCATTTTAAATAGCCTTTCCTTAATACGCAAAGTAGGTGATTCTGTTCTTGAATTCGTTCTCTTTAAAATATGCTGGAAGACAAAGTTCACGGAGCAGTGTTCCAAGCAAGAGGACAGCTGTACCACACACGATTTAACTGAAAATATTCAGTATTACAATGAAAAATAAAAACCGTTTCCTAGATGTAGCTGCACTGAAGTAGATGGCATTGTCTATAAAAACTTGCCAATAGTCACAAAGTACCCCTTCGGGGTTAGAGGGAGCCTCTTGAGATAAAAAAAATCTCGAAGTTGCTAAATGTGGAGAAATATGATCAACAAAACCATTCACATATAATCAGTATTTAGCAATTTTACATATCTATTGCAAAAGATGCTGCAGTTTTGGAACAAAATTTGAGCATTTAATAATAAACAAATTAATAGGCTGGCAGGTTAGCTCAGTTGGTTAGAGTGCTGTTATAACACCAAGGTCAAGGGTTCAATCCTCATACCTGCCGGGTGCCAAAAAGAATAAGCAAATTAAAACCAAATTGCTAGCCAGTAAGAGCTTAGGAAACTTTTGCGTATCCTTAGAATATAAAAGATTATCGATATATTTTTAAACTACATTAGGACTCCTGGGTTAATTGGTTTAATAGAAAACTGAATTGCAAAATAAAAAGTTTTGGGCATCACTTAGTCCTTTTGTTAGATAGTTTGTCGTTTTTTACCAGTAAGAGCTTCAATTTGATTTTACAATTACATTATGAAGAAATCTTTTCTGGAAAGCTGATTAAAATTATTGTAAAGAGTAATGGTAATATATTTGGCCATGATTTAAATTCTGCATACATTTCAGAGAGAACAGTTTTACAAGAATGTTAAGTTTTAAAAAAATGCTGTTTCATGCAGTTACAGTAAATTTAGGCCAAGCACTTTTAAAAAGGCAAATATATTCACATTAAATACTAAAACAAAAAGGATTCCATTATGAAAGGCTGATAATACAATCTCAAATACTGACAGAAATTAATCTTACCATGGTAAATTATAAATTCAAAGCTTAAGTTCTTTCACTGAAATTGTCGTTTTGGGGTTTTTTTGCGTAAAATAGTCTTCACTGAGACTTAAATATTTTCGTTTTATGGAATTTGTTGAGAATATACCCAATAAGAAATTTCTATGAAATTAAGAGTAAAGTTGGGACTGGAAATAAGTTTAAGCATTTCAGTAGAGCTAAAAAATAAAACCTCATGCACCTAAAAATAGCAGTTTATTAGGAATTCTTCCCTTTCTCACCTGTACTAGTAACAAGATACTAGAGATCAATATTTCAAATGAAAGTGTACTACAAAAAGCAAAGGACACAGACTCTGTAGGTTAGAGTACTCTGGCTTATGCTAGTAAAAACAAAAAGCCTTTTTTTAAAACAGACATGCAACCACAAATTTCTCAAGTAATCTAGACACTTGTTCCATCTGTATAACCCCAAAATATGCAGTAATTTTAGTAAAAAAAATAAACCACTAGGTTTCTATATCTTTTTCAGATTTACACATGCAACTCATATACTGTATTAATATTCACAGATATTTTCAAGTGGGAAAACAACTTGTTTCTAACAATTTATTTTTCCAATAACATGTTAGTATGTTAAAAAGATTTGACAGTACATTCATTTAATCTGGCAAACTTAATTTCGACAAATACCTGTTACCCATTGCAAATGGATTCTTTCTAGTACTATGACCAGATTTTCTAATCCTAGCAAAGGCCACAATGAAATAGGCCAGACATGCTGCCATTACAGTTTGTTATGATGAGATTGTAATAAACTTGCTCAAAGTTTTCTAGTTCTAACTTTTAAGGTTCAGAAAGAAATGTGATAGGATTTCACTGTATCTTCTAAAAATATGACTGTTTGAGCTTACGCTATACTTTTTATTTTCTAACTGATTAAAAGTAAGACCTGCCTCAGTGAGGCATGTTTTGGCATTTCTGTAAATGCTGCTTTGTGAAAGTAGAAATATTCACTGTATCTTCTAAAAATATGACTGTTTGAGCTTACGCTATACTTTTTATTTTCTAACTAAAACTAAGACCTGCCTCAGTGAGGCATGTTTTGGCATTTCTGTAAATGCTGCTTTGTGAAAGTAGAAATAAGGAAAAGCTGTGATAGTCACATTCATAGCTTTCATAGAAAAATATATACTCCCTGAATTAGTCATATCAAGTGGTCATCATTCAGTATGGATTCCAGTATTATCAACAAAATAAGACGTTAATGGATTTTCTCTAATTGCCCATTTTTAACACTCAACTTCAGAACTCAATAATCAACATCCCCAGCATTGAATCCCCTGGTCCTTCTAGTTTAAATTGTTTTTGATCTTTGGGAATGTGAATTATGAGACTGGACCTGATTAAAGTTTTTGCTTCACTCAAAAGTCAAATAGGCTCATTTGCACTTTTGGAAATGTACCTAATTTTTTTCTCTGATCTCAGTAATGACACCACAGTCATGGTGGTCTGAATTTTTAGCCTAATGGAGGACCTTAAAATTATATCAGATTGAGATTTTGAAATCTTTTCAGTTCTTGAATTTTTCCTATGTACACTCTACAATTCCCACTATTTTCTTCCTCTAAAGAATCCAGTTTCTTCAGAGCCCTTGCTTTCTGGAAAGAAAGTTACCTTATGACAGGCCATTTGTCTTTTCCTTCCACCTCTCCAACTACAGGCTTCACAGTCTTTTTCCTCCTCAGAATTCCCTGTGGTGTGTGTGAGTACAGGGGCTCACTGGAAGGAAGCCTTCCTCCCACTTTGACCCACTGGATTATGGCTTTTAGAAAATTCCTCAAAAGATGCCAATAAGGGATTAACTTTATAGCTAGGAACAGATTCAACGGCCAGTTTACTTGTAGCCCCTGATTGTTTTCAGATACCACTTCTACATTCTCATAGTCACTATTGTGCTTTTTCTTTCCAGGATCTGAACCGCCTAAAAAAACCCATATTGCTATTACTATCTTCTAGCTCTTTTTCACTTTCAGAATTTATGGTTGTATCATCCTCTTTATAAACATTCAGTAATTTTTTCTTAGCCGCAGCAGAAGCATTTCGATGGGGCAGTTTTCTGCTGCTCTTCCTAATCCAGACATTTTCTGGTCCTGAAATCGTTTCTTTTAGGTTACTCATTATCTTTATTTTATTTGCAGCAACAGTAGCACATCTGCGGGGAACTTTCTCAGGTACCATTTTTGCTCTCAGAGTTTCACTAGGCATTTGCACTGCATCCTTCTGATTATGCATACATGTTCTCATTTTTGTATTGGGTTCTCTGTCTCTAGGAACAGATTCTGAAAAATGAGTGAAAGTTCATGTAAATGCAAAAATCTTGTAACACAAGATTTTGTTACTACTTACATTCTTCAACAATGCTCATATTCCTAAACAATGTTTTAAAACACATTGCTAAACAATAAATTTTAAAACGTGATATGCGTTTTTGACATTGATATAAACTTACATTTCCATATCTTCAATCTATAAGGATGAGTGTCACTTAAAGCAATAGCTGACTTGTAAAAATGGGATTAAAATACCTTTAGCATCATAAAGCCATTAATCTAAAAACTTTTTAAAATCTGAACTTTTCAAATGGCACCATGTATATTTAAAATTTTGGGTTATCATTTCTAATCCTCTATGTTAAACTCCTTTAGAAGTTTTGCAATAATTTTCCTAGAACCTAAACAAGAAAATGCCATAACTATGACGACACAGCATCAGCTTTGGCTTCAAGAAGACCCTTAAGGTTTTAATTCCAACACCAGTCATTTCCTTTATTCTAAAAACTGCTAAGTTGGTAACTAGACAAATTGTACATTGATTTTATATAACTGAAAAGTCGCTTTCATCCTAGATTCATTTTTTTTCAAATATTTGAGCACTTTCTATAACTGAAATTATTAAATCTTATTCACCTATTTTGAGCTAGGTGCGTGTGCAGAGAATTAGGATAAAGATTCTAAAAGTAACTGCACCCAAAGGGTATATATACATATATATTTAGTGTGTGTGTGTGTGTATATAGTTGCTTTAAAAAACAAAGTGCAGAGTGCTATGAGAACATATACTGGAAACCTAACCTAGTCTAAGGGGTCAAAGAAGCTTCCTTTGAGAAGTGTTGTTTTAGATGAAAGCTAAAATAATCTTGAAGAGATGTGCCAGATAAAAAGGTGGGACTAAAAAGCACTCTGGAGAGGCAAGTCCCTACCACAGACTGAGGCAGTTTTCAGAAGGTGGTCTGAGATCATACTAGAGCTGTGCAGAGGAGCCACATGACAGAAGACTTCCCACTCTTAAACATTTTCCAAACTCAGGTGGACTCAAATCTTATTTTTGCCAGTGTCTCAAAGCCAGGTTTTCAAATTTCAAAAACAAATTAGTACTCTTCCAGGATAGAGTGGTATCTCTCTGGTATTTCCTTTCTGCATCTGAAGTTCAGTAGGCCTTACTTGCTGGTAAGCTAGTCTTGCAGTCTGGCAAGAATCAAATCTAATAGTTTTGATAAAGAATCAAACTATCTAAAACTGCCTTAAAGGTACAAAATAGGGCTGAGCCCGTGGCGCACTCAGGAGAGTGCCGCGCTGGGAGCGCAGCGGGTTCGGATCCTATATAGGGATGACTGGTGCGCTCACAGGGCTCACTGGCTGAGCGCGGTGCAGCCGGTCTCAAAAAGGACAAAAAAAAAAAAAAAGGTACAAAATAGTCTTGAGTGTTTGTAGGACCCCACCTCAAGTTTGGTCTCAAAAAGGAAAAAAAAAAAAAAAAAAAGGTACAAAATAGTCTTGAGTGTTTGTAGGACCCCACCTCAAGTTTCCAGACATTCAGGGGTCCATAAGGACAAGTTGTGACTACTAAAATACCCATACTTGGTATCTTCCACCCATACTAGACTCCTGGAGGACTCCGTGATATTCTCTTTACTACTAAGTACTAAAAAATGCGGGCTTTTTAGTCAGGTACTATCAAGTAACACTATTCTGTAGCAGTTAAACTACCACCTTTCCTAGTTTTTCCTCTTATGGAGATGTTCACCTTTATGTCACCAAGCTGATTAAAGGGCAAATCAGCACGGGTAAAAACTGCTTCTATGGACATGTTCATATAGACAGGATCATGAGGAAAGTCCTCTGCCCTCACAGTGAAAGTCCTTCAGATTTTTTTTTTTTTTTCCTAAAAGATGACTGGTAAGGGGATCTTAACCCTTGACTTGGTGTTGTCAGCACCACGCTCAGCCAGCGAGCCAACCGGCCATCCCTATACGGGATCCGAACCCGGGGCCTTGGTGTTATCAGCACCGCACTCTCCCGAGTGAGCCACGGGCCGGCCCAAGTCCTTCAGATTTTTACCTTAAGTCTATAAAATGGATTTCAAAGTTGTGCTTTCTCTAACATCTGTAAGAGTTCTCCCAAAATAGGGTAGGAAATACTTCACTCAAAGCAACCCATCACACACACCTGTCCCTTTTGCCAATTAACTCATGTGATTTACATGCTTTTCCAGTGCAAAGACACTGTATTTTGTTCAGTGTTAGGTCACCAGGCACTGTCAATGGCATTTTAGCAGGCTAAGATGATCATGTCATTAATGCCCTTATCACTTCCTTTAATTGGGCTCTGTGGGAAGACAAGTGGCTTAAAGTGCATGCAGTGTTTTTATTCCAAAGAATCTTCTCTTAGAATTTTAAAATCATGAACTACTACTATCTTCCACAAATCAACCCTATATCCAAAATAAATCTTGGACACATTAAGTCAATACTAAATACTAGAAAATAAATATGCTATAAAAGGTAAATGAAAAAGTGTTTAGAGAAAAATTAAGGTGAAATTTGTACCTTATGGTAGGATGAGGATACACTAGTATCAACTAATTGCACCCACTTGCATGTTGTAAAAATAATAGACAACTGGTTTATTCTCAACAGCATATCCAGTTGAGTATTATAGATAAAATCCTATTACATCTACATTTTTTTTGTAACAAAATGAGAGAAAAATTAAGGTGAAATTTGTACCTTATGGTAGGATGAGGATACACTAGTATCAACTAACTGCACCCACTTGCATGTTGTAAAAATAATAGACAACTGGTTTATTCTCAACAGCATATCCAGTTGAGTAGTATAGATAAAATCCTATTACATCTACATTTTTTTTGTAACAAAATGGAGCATATCCAGTTGAGTAGTATAGATAAAATCCTATTACATCTACATTTTCTTTGTAACAAAATGGTCTAAATTGTAATTAATTCCTCTTTGATGGATGATGGTAGTACCTATACTGACAATTTAGGAGCTTAGTACACACTATTTCAATACATGTTTATTTGTACTCCAGAACAAGGGAAAAGTTAAGATTCTGCAGCCAAGAAGTAAAACTAGGTTTTTAAAAATTAACTTTTAAAGGAACTTTTAAAGGAACTTCAAATAAAGAACTATACCCAGAGGACAATGAATTTGAGAATTATAATGTATACAGCATCTCCAACTTGATAAAGTGGTTATCTCTAAAGTCTTCAGATGATATCATGGAAATTTAATAATAAAGATAGAAACAGAATCTGAGGCAGACAGAATAGTGACAGTGTGGGGAATTACAAAAAAAAAATACATACTTGTAAGTCAGTGTTAATTTTATTACTAAGAACTTGGTAAATTATAAAGTGCTTTATTCTTGAGAAAACTACAAACAGTTTTTAGAAATATATACAGGATAATTCAGGGTTAGAAAGAAGTCAAATTTATGTTAAGGTACAAGCTTAAGAACTTTGGAGGCTGCTGCTCTAATGATACATTTGTGACAGTGTCATTTAATACTAAGTCAGTACAATCCCACAAGTCCCACTATCCCGGATGGTCTGTGTTGGGATAGTCACTGAGTGCTTGAGACACTGTTGCTTTCAAATAAATGATTCCCTATTCAGGTATGGCAAAAACATCAGTAGTGTAAAATTTTATATCTGTAATAGTACTCCATGATAGTTTACCTGGATGACCACTTTAAATTATAACTCACAGATCTGTGTGTGTTCTAAGATGGTCTGTGGTGAAATCTGTATATAGAGACAGTTCTGATTAAAAACATTAATCTCTAGTTTCTACATTTTATAAATCATTCATATTCCAATTTCGGTATTTTGTCATACAAAACTTTTTCCTAAGTGCAAAGTAAACTTTACATTACAGAAGCATTAAAGATTTTTATTCTGATCAGCATTTTTAACTGAGGCATTTAAATCAAATTTGAGATGAGAAAAGAAATGAAAGAATGCCTGACTCGAAATGAAAATATACTAGCCTATTTCATGTACTTTGGTAAGTAATGACATTATTGCTCTAGTTGGATAAATCAAATCCAGAGTGGGTAAACCTTTTAGTTGCAAATTTTATCAGAGCTGGTTTGAGACGTCCTCTTTTCTTTGTCTGCTGTTCATTGATAAGCAATAAAATGTTCCACCACTCAAGAAAGCAAGTAGCATTTATCAATGATCTTCATTCCTCCCAAAACAAAAGCTTCCGAAAGGATCCCATAAACTGAAGCCTCTTTGAAGAATGGCTATAAAGTGTTTTGTGTAACTGGCTGTTTTTTAACACTTCTCTTTTCTAGAGGGAGCTGGTAATATTGCAGTCTTATTTCTACTGTATGGCATTATCAGGTCAAGAGATTGTCAGAAATAGTTCAGCAAACTAGAATTGTTCTTCACTAGTTTAGTCACTTTTAGGGTTCAATTTACTCAGTCAGTGATAAGGGCACCACACAACCTTGAATGTTTTTTTGTTTTGTTTTGTGACTACAGCTAATCAAGTTAATCACAATACAGTTTTCTCTGATCCCTAGAAAATAGTTAATTGGTAACATTAATCATTCTTATGACTCTCAAAAGATTTGTGATGGCTAATGCAATTATTTTATAAAACTAATAAAAACTCTATGAAGTATGAATTCAGGGATCTGCTTAACTTTTTAGAAGAGATTTTTCACAGCACTTCAAATTAAAGGTAGGTAGGATAAGGTATCAGAAGTAAATACAGGGTTTTAAATCTACCTTATGACTTTCCTAATGAAGAGAATCAGGGTCGCAGACAATCCAGTGACAAACACCTTTTCAAGCCCAGCTCCTGGCTCACTTCTGCCCCTCTGGCCCATACCCACAACTTGTAGCCGTGTTCTGCCTGCATGAGCAGAAATCACCAATGGACAGAGGCTGGGCAACTACTTAAAACAAGAGGTAAAGATGTAATTGGCTGCATAGCACAGACCTTATGGAATTAACCAACAAAAATGTATTAGGCTTGGAGCAATTT